GAACCCAGGCTTCTTCCATCTTTTGATACCACCATCTTCACCGTATGGCCTCCATATTGCCTCTGAATCGGAGAAAAATAAAAGAGGATTAAATATGGGGAATGTGGCCAGGGCAGTGGAGAAGTCAGGTGTTAGGAAAGCAAAGGGAGAAAGATATCAAGTTGGAGGGAGTGATCCATTGTGCCAAGTAAGGAAAGGAGAGAATTAACAACATGGCTGGCATCGGTAACCATGCTAAGATTGTGGGCTGGAAAACTTGATTGGAGTGGGCCTTAAAAGGGAGAAGATTTGAGATAAAATAGTATGTAAGATGGTTTAGTAGCCCTTTTGTACGGATAAATAGGGAAGGAGCAGAAGGAGGAAGGAGAATACCAACTATGCTGCTGGGATGGCGCAATAGAGGGGAAAAATAATGACGTAGGATGGGCGAGAATCTTGAAGAGGTTCCTGGAACTAGCTCGCGGCAGGGGGAACTTTACAACTGGAACAAGGCCTTAGGTACCCATGCTGACCTCATTTTCAGTGAGAAGAAGGAAGAGCACATGGGTGCAGATACTGCAGCATGTGGAGGGGGTAGAAGGTAGATGCGGTGATGGGAGTTTGGGGGAGGTTCTTCTGATTGCTTCAGGTTTTTCATGGAGCATGATGTGAGGTCATTAGCCGAGAGGAGGTAAGCTGAGACGGTGGGTTTAAACTTTATTTCTTCTTTTTGAAAGAGTCTCTTACAGTCGTTTTAGAGGTGTTTAGGGAGGGAAGACAGGTGTTCAATTCAACCTGCCATATTTAATAGGAGTTCCAATTATAAACTACTTAATATTATATACCTACTCTCCTTTGCATCTGCCAGGGCCTGACCAAGTAAATTCTCAGTAAATATTTGCTCAGCTGAAGTGAATTTTCTTCGTGGTCATAGTCAGCTTTTTGAATGCTTTTTTGATGTCTGCCTTATCACCTTCACTAACTTGAGAAAGTTAAAGTTCAGCGTGTTAAAGAAAAACTTCGTTCTTCCTTGCTAGATATATATATATATTTTTTTCCCCGTTTGGTTTGGCCATGCTTTGAGACACGCGCTCTGTTGATTCACATCTTCACGGAATATGGAGGGATCCGAAGCAGTCAGGTACCTGCTCAGGGGTTTGTCCGCAGCATCCAGCCTGTGTTTGAGAACCAGGCCTCCAGGCTCCACGATTTCCTGCAGCGCGAAAAACTAGTGCGCTTCAGGCATGGAAGCCAGAATGTGGGCGCTTGGTTCATGATCTGGTTGAAGTAGACTGAACCGTCATTCATTGCTGCCTTAGAAATGAGATTTAAAGCACTTCCGGGATAGTAAATTCAGAGGGTGGAGAGGGCTAGTTATTGCTGTGAGAACAAGCGTCCACTCGGTGAGCTTGGGAAATTTACTTAAAAACAAGAAGAACCTGCATTTATTGAAGCTTGTATAATTCTGACATCTCTTTGAGGATTATTGTCCCCATTTTACAGCTAATGACACTGAGGCACAGAAATGCTCAGAGAATTGCAGAGATCAGACAGAAGGGAGAGGCAGGAGGCACGCTGGCTCTGGAGCTCTGAGCTCCTAACCTCTGCTAACTCTGGGAGCCTCGGTTTTCATATCTTTCAAATGGGAACATGAGCATGTACCTTGCAGGGTCATGCTGAGAATTAAATGAGATAAGGTATGTAAAGAACTTGGCATATTACAGAAACTCAGTGAGAGTCTTATTATTATTTAAAATTGTTTTTGATATTATTTAAGCCATTTGGTATGTACACGAAAAAGCCCACTGACCCGCATAGTAATTAATCTTATACTCTTTTCCATTGTATAGTTTCAAAAACTATACTATTGGTTTTGGGAGCACAAAGTATAATTACAGTTTATCTTCAGCATTTTATTATTTGAATGAAAGCTCATGATTCAGTTTTTTTTTAAGAAAAGAAAAACTAATACTATTCAGAATAAAGTATCCCCTCTTTTTTTTTTCAGTTTTCATGACATTTATTTTTCTACTACAAGCCCCTCCTTTTTTTCATTAACAATCTGGACTATTGATGAGACCAGACTCATTTTCAGCTGAAAATCAGAAAACAAGATCACAAAACATGGAGAACATATTGTAATGAGGATTTGTAGGTTTGTTCTCCACGGGATCTATTTTATCATAATTGTAAAGTGGCTGAGGGACAAGTCAAAGGAAGACATGGATGTGGGTCAGAGTACTGGGTACCTATTCCAGCTCTGCCTCCTATTGGCTGTGAAATCTTGGGTAGGTTCCCCAGCTTCTCTTTGGTCAATTCAATTATTGAAGTTAGAGATAAAGCTTCCCTAAGTATAGTCTAAGGAACACTGGTTCCATGAGATATTAGTAGGTAGCAGAATAAAAAGGTTTTCATGGTCAAATACATTTGGGAGATTCTGTGTGGTTAGATGATTCTAGATTAGACCAATTATTTTTGCCACAGGCCTTCTCAGAGCCTTTAATATGTTAAATGACACTATCAATTTCAAGAAAGGGATGTAGTATCTCCTAATCTTACTTCATCATAGAACTGCTTTGTCAAAGAGTGTCTTTCACATTTTAGAAGGATGCAGATAACACAAATAAAGTGTAAACTTATTATATGTATTAGTAAATGATAATCATTAACTAGCTATTCATGTAATATTTAAAGGACTAAGTATCTATTAACTAGACTTTCCTCCTTAATTTCTCCATACTTGCTACTGTTGGAAAAAACACTATTGTAAATTATTGGTATGATTCTTATTGATAATTCATTTTTGCTTATAATCACTTTTAAGTTTAAATGTCCTTATCATGGAATATAGGACTCACATATTAGCATATTAGCATAATTCACTATCCATACACATCTATACCTATGTCTGTTGTTATTATTATTATTGTAATTACAAAATTGCTTTCCTTTGTGCCAAATCTTCGATGATTACATTGAGAAAAATTTGTGACCGTAGAAGACATGAGCAGACACAAGTAAAAACCACCCAAAGTGTTAACAGGTACGTATTGTACAAATGACCTCTTCTGCTTTTTATTTTTAAGAGATAGAGTCTATCAGGTAAAGGAATGATTCACTATGTATCAAAATTTAATCATTCGATAGTATTAGACTAGGGATATGGTTTGTCCTGCTCTCCTGTAAGATTGTCAGGAGAATTATAAGGTGACAGACTGTTGGTGCTTTCTACTACCTCTCTCTTTTTAATAGTGAAGTTCTGATTTAGAATATGAATAAAATGGTTCTCTGAATTTATCTTGTATTCTAATAAAGTGTTCAGTAGTAAAAAAGCGAGTAAAAAATAAAACCAGAGATATTAATTTGTTGAACTCTGAACCAAATTGATGCACAAGATAATCTCTTTGGGTGTAAAACAAATATTTCAAACTCTGATCCTTTAAAAATTTTATTTTTGGTATGTTTCTCTATTAAATATGTACATATGGTAGTACAATATTTGTTGTGCAATCAAAAGAATTTTTAAAAACTTTGATTTAACTTTTGTGACAGCTTATTTTTATGAAATTGTATTAACTTGAGGGTTTTTATAGAGGAATGCTATATATAAATGTATTTAATGACTTGATTCACATGCTGGATATGGATATGGATTGTTTTAAGTCACTTTTGCCTCCAGATCTATGGGTTTCTATGCCCTGTGACTAAACAAGCCCAGATTATTACAATGCCTAGTATTATATTTTTCTTCTCTTCTCCCTCACTTTTACAGTAATTATGTTTCTGGACAACCGCATCATTCTGCCTACTTCCCTCAGTATTTATAACTGACTTTGGGCAAGGAAACTAGATGAGCAGGTGTAATAGGACTGTATTTAAATAAACCCAACAGGTTTTAAGTAACAGGCCATGGTTCAATTACGGGGAGTACAAGGGCTGCCAAGCAGGGCCTGGGGCAACGTCAGTGTGTCTTTTTATAATTAGAATTTTGTTTTGGTGTGGATGTTTGCTCTCTAGATAAGTGTCGGTGACTGCAGTAATTTAAAAAATGACTTTCTAAAAATTACAGAATATGTAATGCTTACTTTAGAGAATTTTAAAAAAATACAGGGAGGTACACAAGAGATAATTTTAAAAATCACAATTTCACAGTTAGAAACAACCAGTATAAATTTTGCATGTATTTCTTCTTTTTTTTATTTGCATATATATTTTATATATTTATTTTATGCCTATTTTACACAATTTGGTTTATACTGCATTTGTAGTTTTGTATTTTACATTTTCATTTGACAGTATTAATAAAGCATCTCCTATGTCATCACATTTTCTTCAAAACCCATACCCTTGTTAGTAGCTACATTCATTACATGAATGTACAATAATTTATCTAACTATCCCCATGTTATTGGAAGTGTTTGATATTTTACAAAATACTATGGTGAAAAACCTTGTATACGAATATTTGTCTACATCTTGTATCATTTTTAGGCTAGATTCTCAGAACTGGAAATACTGGGTAGAAGACATGAAATGTGATGAACATTCTGATAACGAACTTGTGCACATCCTTAATTATTTCTGCACAGAAATTCTGTGAAGCAAAATTGCTGTTCAAAGAATATGCAGGTTTTGTTTTATATCTATGTGTTTTTTACATGAGAGTAGGTCTTCCTGTCTTTTTTTCTGTGTGTAAAAAAAAAAAGTGCTCACTATAAAAAATATTTAGACATGAAAAAAGCTCAAGAAATAAAGTAAAAATCACCTGTCTTTCCATAATTCTTGTTGACATTTTGGATCCTGTGCCTACATATACAGATAGGTGTGCGCAAATGAGAGAGGGCATGCACACCTACATCCAGTTACAAAACTGAGATCCACACTATATAAACTGTGTTGTATACTGATATTTTAAGAAACTGATGTTAATTTAAAGTATGGTACACTTAGAGAAATGTGCCCAAAACATGTGTACAGCTGGATGAATGTTCACAAAGAAACACCCAGATTAAGAAATAGAAAAAAATGTGGAACACTTCATGAGATTGAATGTTATCCTTACCCAGGTGCCAAACTAACTCAGCGTCATTCCAATTTTAGTATATGTGCTACTGAAAGGAGCACTTGAAATGTACCGAGGTATCTTTTCATGTTAACCAAGAAACTATATTTGAAAGGATATAAGATATCATCGATTGTTAGTGTCCCATTATTTTGTGTACTGCTAAGAAAGAAAAAAAATCTGCCATGTAAACTATAGACAACACCTTGTTGATAGTCCTGTGTAATAACCAGCTTCTTTTTAAAAAATTGAGATATAATTGGCATATATATAAGATTCTATTAGTGTCAGATGTACAGCATAATGATTCAATATTTGTATATATCGTGGAATGATCACTACAATATGTTTAGTTAACATCCATCACCTCACGCTTACAATTTTTTTTTCTTGTGATGAGATCTTTTAAGAGTAATCTCTTAGCGAGTTTCAAATATACAATACAGTATTGTTAACTAGAGTCACCATTCTGTACATGACATGCCAGGGCTTATTTATTTTATAATACAGAATTTGTACCTTTTGATCCCTTAACCCATTTCTCCCACCTTCCACCTCCCCACCTCTGGCAACCAACAATCTGTTCTCTGTATCTGTGTTTGTTTTTTTCTATATTTCTGTTTTTAGATTCCACATATAGGTGAGATCATACAGTATTTGTCTTTCTCTGTCTGATATAACCAACTCCTTGATGCTTTTAAATTTCCTTAAGCTGTCCTGAGGTTTGCCAGTTTCGTCACCCTTCAGCTTCACTGCATGATGTGTGAGGGCAATCTTTTTGCATTTTCTTATCTTCCACCATGTCTTTTTTGGGTCCCATTAAGCTCTTGGTTGTTTCTTCTCCAGAAAAAATGAAATTGTGGTCATTCTTCCAATGAAGTTTATTTGCTTTGGTCACATTAAATATGTGCCCTGCTTTTCTGTTTCCATTCATTAAATGATTTTGTCTCAATGCTGGTTCTAGTGAAATCTTTTGAAAGACATTTTAAATAACAAGCTCAATGAGTATGGTATCAATAAAACATGTGACTCAGTTCGAAATGACAACTGTACAAAAGCTTTGCTGAAGTTCATGCACGCCCACACAGTTAGGAGGACAGCAGGACCCATGTGAAAAATATAGGTGAGTCAATGAAATACAGTATATATGCACCATCTCTTTTTTTTATAATTGAGATTTTATTGGTTTCTACCTTATCTGTTCACAGACAATATAAATAATCTATACACAATTCTTACACATTAGAATCTATACACATAAGAATCTATATATAATTCTCTTACAAGTACTAACGATCTGGAAAAAAATGATCGTAATCTTTTTCTAAAAAATTACTCAGTCACTTCAATTATAATTTGGAGGCAAATTGTTCTTTAATACAGGTTATCAAGTGCCTATATAAGAAAATACTGATGAGTTGTTAGGTCTAAAATTCCACTAATTCATGATTTAATATCATATTTACGACATGTTAAAAAATGCAATCTTTCACAGCATATTAGCAAAGTTGTAGGAAAAGCTGCACTACTGCTACCAAAGATGTCACAGATGGCACTTAAGCCCAACTGGAGAGTCAAGATCAAGGAACAGTTTCCTTAGACAATATTTTACCAAAGAACAGCAAGGATACAGAAGATAAACAGTTTGAAATGTTTGAGGCATGCAAAATGAATGAATTAATTATGCTTCATATTATAGGATATGACCCTCCCCACCTCAAGATCATGGGGTGGTAATTGGTGCACAGATGTCAAAAACTTCCTTAATTCATTATTCTTCTAATTCCTGGTTGTGCAGAATAATAAACAGTATATGATTTTAGCTATTAAGAAAAAGCATTTACACTTTTCTAAATATGTAAAAAAATATCAACTATTTCTAGAGTTTCTAAAATTCTTGCCTTTACAAAACAGTTGAACAATGCAGGAGATATGGGGATCACAGAGAAGATTTGAGATATGATATTTATCACAGACTGGACTCTCTTCTTTGTTCTGTTTTCTGCAGAAAAGTCTTTAGTTTCTTCATGACCGACTTTGGCCTCTTCCTTTGGCTCTTTCACTTTTATTTGTTTCCCCTCTGAAGATTGATTCTTTCCTGTTGTGTTTTTGAGGCTTAGTTTCAACATTTGCAGAAATAGTTTGGTAGACCATTTTGCCGACCCCTTGGGGTTTACTTAGTGCCCCTTGGGCCAGATCACCCTTGCTCTTGGACACCATGATGGTGCTTGTGGTGGGGAGGGTGGGCACTGGGCTGCGACACAAATGGCACTTGCACCATCATTTTTCATGGCTGCGTAATAGTCCATGGCATGGTTATATTACACTTTAATTACCAATCCTGTACAGATGATGAACATGCAAGTCTTTTCTAATCTTTTACTATTCATAAAAGTCAATACAATAATTCTTTTGCTCAGATAATTATTTTTTTTATAACTATTCCCATGGAATAAATTCCTGAAAAACTATTAAGTCAAGTGTTATGCACATTTTATGGATTTTATGTGTATTGCCAAACACTTTTAAAAGTTATACAAATTGACATCTATTGATGGTATATGAGAATGTGTAATTCCTGGATTCCTGAGAGTGCTTTTCTTTTGAATCTTTGTTTAGTGATGAAAGAAAATTATATCAAGAGTTCGATAATATTTCATATTTTTCTTGGCTATTTGTGACCTGTTCATGTTCTTGATCTTTTTAATTGTAGTTACTTATTTTATTGATTAAAAATACCTCTTCTAATATATAAACTTTTTTCTATTTTATATGCTATTTTAGCTTGTCATTTACCTTTTTACTTTTTCCTAGTTTTTCTTTTTTCTTGTTATGCAGAAATACTCAATTTTTATGAGTTAAGACTGTTGAGATTTTCATAGATGGCTCTGGGATTTTATTCTATGCTTCTGAGGCCATCTTCACTATAAGATAACATAAGTGTTTTATTATTCTATTTATTTTTATTATTTTAATAAAAAATCTAAAACTAATTACATGAGAAAATTTATTGGAATTTCATTCCATTAGATGTTAATTTGGGGATAATTGTCATCTTTCTACTACAAAAGCTTCTAATCTGGTCTCTTCACTTTTTTTACCTTTCAGGTACCTCAGTAAAGGTTTGTCATTTTTTCATATAAATCCTGCACATTTTTTGTTGATTTTACTTATAGTTATTGTGTCTTAATTGCTATGCCATAAGAAATTTTTACTTAATATTTTCTAACTAAATAATGCTGATATGTATGAGGGGCTTCAAAGTTACCAGTAACTCTTCTTTCACAAGTTAGGTTATGGATAAATGAGTATTTATTTTATCGTTATTGATTTTAAATTGTCTATTTACTTTATATATATACATATATAAAAATATTTTATATATCTTACTGTGTTCATTTCCTAGGACTGCTATAACACTTTGTCACAAAGCGGGTGTCTTAAAAGAATAGAAATTTATTTTCACAGTTCTGGTAGGTAAATCAAGGTGTCCATTGACAGATGTATAGATAAATAAAATGTGGCATAATGATACAATGGAATATTGTTAACCCTTAAAAATGAGGGAAATGTTGACATATACTACCACATGGATGTTGAAGACGTTATGCTAAGCCAGACACAAGGGAACAAATATTATACGATTCCATTTATATGAGGTACCCAAAGTAGACAAGCTCATAGAGGCAGGAAGTAGGATGGTGATTGCTGGGGGCTAGGGCAAAGAGGAAATAGGAAATGTACTCACTGTGCTTAGTGAGTACAGAGTTTAAGTTTGGGAGGACAAAAAAATTCTGGAGATGGTTGCAGAACAATATAAATGTACTTATATTGTTGTGCAACCATCTGAACTGTACATTTAAAAATGGTTAAAATGGTAAATTTTATATTATGTATATTTTACCACACTGGACACTGGGTTGGTTCTACCTTTTGGTTATTATGTATAATGCTGGTGGCAACACGGGTATACAAATATTCATTCAAATCTCTGCTTTCCACTCTTTTGAGTATATACCCAGAAGTGGAATTGCTGGACCATACAATAATTCCGTGATTGTCACAGTGGCTGTATAATTTTACATTTCTACCCCTTCATTTTACTCTTAATGAGCATCTAGGTTGTTTCCAGTTTTGGGTGTTATGAAGAATACCAAAACCATTCTTCTACACGTCGTGCGGTGCACTTATGTACACATTGCCGTTGAGTATATGCCAGTAATGGAATTGCTGGGCCAGAGTGTATGCATATGTTCACCTTTAACAGAATGCCTGAGTTTTCCAAAGTACCGGGACCAACTGACAGTACTGCCAGAGAGTTCCAGTCATTTCCTATTCTTGCTAACTTAGCACTGTCAATTGTTAAAATTTTACCCATTCTGATGACTACATAATGTATGTCATTGTGACTAATGATATTGAGTGTTTTCAACACGTTTATCGATCACTTGGATAGCCTCTTTTATGAAATGTCTGGTTTAAGACTTTTGCCTTTTAAAAAATTGGATTGTCCTTTTTTTTTTTTAAATTGATTTGAAAGAGTTTTTATGTATTCTGGAAGTAAGTTATTTTTTTGGATCTATGGCTTACAAATATCTTTTCCCACTCTATGGTTTGCCTTTTTACTTACATCCTATAACTTAACAAAAATCACGCTTGTTCCTATATATCTAAATCACAATTTAGATTTTTTTTACTTATATTTCTAATTGGCTATTGTTAATCTAAATAAAAGTTCTTAATTTTTATGTAGTTAGCCCCATTACCAAATTAATTCTGTGTTCTATTAAATTTTAAGTTTTCTAGGAATTCAATAATATCAGCAACAAGGAAAGAAAGATATTTATCTTCTTTTTCATGTTCTGTTTATTTTGCCTCAGTGCTTTAGGTAAAACTTTCTAAGTATGATTGAAAAATTGTGGTCATAGCAGACATTCCTATCTTGGTTCTGATTTTAGTGGAAATGACTTCAGCAATTTATTGTTTAGTATACTATTTGCTATATATGGTCTTTTCCATATTTATATAATGTCCTTCTATTTTAGCCCCAGGATGATGCAGA